GAAGGAAAGAAAGAGAGAGAGAAAGAAAGAAAGAAAGAAAGAAAGAAAGAAAGAAAGAAAGAAAGAAAGAAAGAAAGAAAGAAAGAAAGAAAGAGAGAGAAAGAGACGAGTTAAAGTCAGGCATGTAAAAGCACATACTAATAATCTCCACACTTAGGAGGCAGAGGCAGGAGGATTTTTTCAAGTTTGAGACCAGCCTTGTCTATAGAGTGAGTTCCAGACTACCCAGAGCTGTATGGTGAGACCCCATTTCAAAAGACAACAGCAAAAGACCCACAGACAAAAGAACAAAACAAAACAAAAACAGAAAACCAGAGACAAATGAAACAATTAGAACACGGAGGTGGGGTCTGGGCTGGGCTGTAGCTCGGTGGTGGAGCACTTGCCTAGCTTACCTGAGGTCACACACCCACAGAGCTGTAAGAAGAGAAAGCCCAGGAGCCAGCAGGAAGTGCCTGCTTTTCAGTCATGTGACAGGTCCTTTTACTTATTTATTTATTTATTTATTTATTTATTTATTTATTTATTTATTTATTTATTTATTTATTTATTTTTCGAGACAAGGTTTCCCTGTGTAGTTTTGGTGCCTGCCTTCGATCTCACTCTGTAGACCAGTCTGGCCTCGAACTCACAGAGATCCTCCTGGCTCTGCCTCCCAAGTGCTGGGATTAAAGGCGTGCACCACCACCACCCAGCTATTTTTTAAACTTTAATTGACTAATTTTTTTTTTGAGATAGGGTTTCATTCTGTAGCCCAGGTTAGCCCTGAATTTGTGGCAATCCTCCTGCCTCAACCTTACAAGTGTTGGGATTGCAAGTGTTTCCCATCACGCCGGGAAGTGAGTGGTACTCTTTTTCAAGTTTGGCTTTACCTATCATCACTCTGTGTGCCGTCCCCCCCCATTCTGAGCTGGGGGTGGAGGCGTGCTACGTGCTACGGTAGCTCCTGTGCTGAGGTCAAAAGACAACCCTCAGGAGCTGAGAATTGAGTCTCTTGAGAAGCAAGACGGGGGTGGGTGGGGGTGGGCGTGGTGGGGGATCGCTGCAAGTTTAAGGCCAGCCTGGTCTACATAGTGAGTTCCTGCCGGCCAGGGCTACATAGTAAGACCTTGTCTCAAAAATAAATATAAATAAATAATCACCAAGGTTGGGGGTACAAGCTCAACGTTTATATGGAAGGGCCCTGGATTCCACCTCAACACTAAAAAGAAAAGAGAACAGCCAAAATGAGTGTGTGGCTGTGAAGTCAGAAGGGGGTCCCAGACTGGGGAATGCAGACGGAAGAGTCATGAGAATCTTGGAGTGTTGAAATAGTCTCTGTCTTGATCCGCTACAGCTACATAGGGTATGCTCACAAAAAGTCACAGCGCTCTATGCTAACGATGTGTGCCTTCAGTGGTAAGATATTACTAATTAAAACGCTTGGGGAGAGGCTGGCTGGACGGCTCAGTGGTTAAGAACACTCGTTGCTCTGGCAGAGGACCCAAGTTCAGTTCCCAGCACCCACATGGTGGCTCACAGCCACCGGTAACTCCAGTTCCAGGAAATCTGATGCTCTCTCCTGACCCCTGTGGGCACCAGGCACACAGTGGGTGCCCATGCATACAGATAAAATGAAATAAAGAAAGAAAAAAAGGCCGGGCGTTGGTGGCGCACGCCTTTAATCCCAGCACTCGGGAGGCGGAGGCAGGCGGATCTCTGTGAGTTCGAGGCCAGCCTGGGCTACCAAGTGAGCTCCAGGAAA